GATGCTAGCCGTTTTATCGCCTGCTCATGTAGCTGCCATCCTCACAGACACAAAAGAGTTAAAGCTAGGCCAGTCATGCACCGTGAAACAGTTTCAGCCTGCTCTGCCTGAAAGCAGTTTATTCCCGGGGCATCAGAATGTAGGAGTCATCCTGTTGAGGCAAGGGCTGAGCCCCAGGGAATGGAAACTTCACCAAGGTGGTGAAATTATATATGGGAGGTATTTCAGCCAAGCGGAAGTGGATCTTTTGCATCTCAGGGTACGACGTACTATCCACTTTGGTTCTCCCTCACACACCCAGCCAGCATCCCTCATCCCAAGACGTCATATAACTGACGTCTTGGGAAGTCTTTTGACCATACGTACCCTTAGGGTACCCTTAAACGTCGGTTAGATGACGTTGTCGGATCCTAACCCTACCCCAGACCTAAACCTACCCCGTCACCTAACAGACGTTAAAGGTAAAGCGTCAGTTTTATGACGGCCCAGGATCGTCATGTAACCGACATTTAAGGGTACCCTAAAAAGGCAGATGTTGATGTATGGTCAAAAGACGTCCCAAGACGTCAGTTATATGACTTCTTGGGGTGAGACTGTGTTAACCCAGCTCCCTTGGGGCTGGACGTTGTGCTATAGACATGGCAGAGGCTACGTCTGTAAGTTATTCCCAGATTAGTCTTCTCCCAGGAGTTCTGGAGAAGCTCCATCACGATGGAATAAGTCTACTACTAGTGGCGTTGTACTGGTCGAGATGACTGGTTCTCGGACCTGGTGTCCCTTCTCGACGACTCTCACTCTGTGATTCCGGTCAGGAGGGACCTTCGGTTTCAAGTGGGAGGGGTGACCCATTACCCTCAACTGAGGTTGTGGAGACCATACTTCACTCCAGAGCTCCCTCCTCAAGGAAATTGTATTGAAGTGATGAGTATTCACTTCATAGAGCGGACTTCCAGTTCTGTAAAGATATGCAAGGGAGAAAGCATAAGTTAAGTTCAGGTTCCAGTAACTGGATAAAACGTCTCAGGTTACGACTGTAAACCTAGTTCCCTGAGAACGGAACGAGACTCTGCGTCACTTTGTTATACTCCCTGCATCACTGTGATCGACTTGCTTCGGCTAAATGATGCCGGTCAAATCGGATGTGCTTTTATCCTTTGCTGGTTGTTACGTCTCCCGCCCGCAATTGGACTAGTTGACACAAGTGCTTCAGTTTTCAGGCAATCATGCAGGGGCGTTTCCAAAGCGCCATTGACGCGCTGAGATGTTTTGTCTAGTTACTGGACCTTCAACTTAATGCAGACTTAGAGTTTTCTCCCTTGCATATCTATGCCGAAAGTGTAAGCTGTGCGTTTCGGGCCTTCTCAGAGAAGTGAGAAAAGTAGAATGAGGATTTTACAAAGATCTGCTGTTAAAATCTGAAGGATGTAAAGCAGTGAGCTTAGAGTGTGTTTGTGAGGAGAAAGGAGTCAGCCTGTTCTTGGATTTAAGCTATGAGTGAGGATTTCGCTTAGACTTTATATATTGATTGATATTTACCTTTTAACCTTGGTGAGAGACAGCAAAGATAATGTTCAGAATAATGAAATCTGGACTTTTAACCTTTAAATCCCAAACAATTTACCTCATAAAATCCTCTTCACTGCAGCAAGAACAAGAACAGTTGACAGTTGAGAAAGTGTTTGTTGGTGGACAGACTTAAAGGGATAGTTCACCCAAAAATGAAATTAAGGTGTGTCCATAAAATTGGAGTAAATGGTTACCAAAACCGTTGGCTACCACATTCTTCAAAATATCTTCTTATGTGTGCTCATGTTTATATTTCATTAGGAGGACCAAATGTCCCCACAAGAATAGTAAAACGTGAAATCACATACATTGCGAGGACTATACAATGGCCCCGCGAGGGAAATTGATTAATTAACATACTAAATTGTTTTTTTTTTTTTTTTGAAAATGTAAAAGAGCAGAAAGTTTTCTGTGATGGGTAGGTTTAGGGTTAGGGTACTGTAAGGGGATAGAATATACAGTTTGTACAGTATAAAAATCATTACGTCTATGGAGAGTCCCCTCAAAGACACTGGACCAGATATGTCCACCTCATTTTTGATCTAGAAATGTAAGGACAGGAAAATGTCCATGTTTTGTTTAAGACTTTGCCTTATGAATGTAAAATAACATTGAAATGGAAAATGTGAGCAATGTAAACCGAATTGTTTGACATTTGAATGGATTAAATTTTATTTTATTTTATTTATTTATTTATTTTTTATTCAAATGTTAAAACGAGTACACCAGCAGCTAGAAGATTGTCAATGTCTGGAGGAATGAAACCTTTAACCTTCATATTTGTATGACCAGTGCAGAAAAGGGAATGTTTTGAAAGTCTTGGTTTAAAAAGAAAAAGCTCCTTACCTTTATACTGTTCCATTTTTTAAAAAAAAACAATGTCCCATTGTAATCTTAGTGTATTGGTTTGAAATAGAAGCCACACTGAAACTGTGATAAACATTTTTAGAGCGTATATCATCAAGGGACAACATGGTGACTCGAGGCAGACTCCAGATTTCTGTCGTCGCCACATTTCTTTCTCCTCCCTATGTAGTGTGTAGCAGTACTGTAAATGCGCTCTGACACGGACACAAACAAATTGACTCTCAAAACTGATGCTAATTAGAAGTGGGGATTTTTTTTCTTCATGTTTTGCTTTTAGACAGAGAGAAAATATTCAGCAAATATCATCCAGTAAATATTTATGTCATAATACACTGAATACTTTTTTTTTTTTATTCATGTAATATCAAAGTAAAATACAAGGCTTTTCACATTGCACTTAAATCTGGGTTACCAATCATATGGCAATGCTATTTTTAACCCTGAATTATGAGCCAGATCTCATGAAAGTTCGTATCTATAGCACGAATGTCATTTCTTGTGCTATTTATACGCCAAAAATAGTTTTTGCGTGTATATGGCATGCGTTTTTCGCGTGCATATGATACGCACTTTTTGGCATATAATAATTACAAACTCCTCATACCTCATAGCATATGCACGCAAAAAACATTTTTGGCATATAAATGCCACGAGAAATGACAATCGTGTTATAGATACGCACTTTCCTGAGACTGTGTTGGAATTATGATACCCTACTCTTGATTTTGCAGTGCTAACATTGAATTTCCTTGACAAAGCTGTGCAATGTGAAATACAGTACTAGAATATTAAAACAGATTGTTTAACAACACACAAACAAATTATAGACTACATGTTATTGACCTGATAAATATGCAAATGCATTTAAGAACGATAACCCACGGTTTACAAAAGTACAGTGTAAAAACTTGAAACCTGAATGTCCAGGATTTTTAACACTTTATTTTAAGGTGATAAAGTGGCACGTCACTACATACTTACTATAATAATACTATTACTTGCTATTACCATTTCTATAGTAATTAACAGTAAATTATGCATAATTACAACTAACCCTAAACCAAACCCTAACTGTAACTCTATAGTAAGTACATGTAGTGAATTAATATTACTCAGTACTTGTACTCAATACAATGTAACTCTGTCACCTTAAAATAAAGTGTAACCTTAATTTCTGACCCATGATAAATTATGGACAGTAGCTCATACAAAAGTTTCCAAATTTAACTTTCAAAGCGGCAAATTTAACTTACGGACAACATTTTTATATCACAATAAAGCACATTTTCCATTCCTTGTGTTCAAGGGAACAAAATTTTCACTTCCTCTTAAATAAATGCAAAATAACTGTAATAAAAATAGAAGTTCCTGCAATCTTGGAAGCCACTTTGCTCTTTTTTTTGCATGCAGGTAAAACACAATAAATGCTTGCGTTTTGAAGCAGATGCCTGGCGTTTGGGATCTCAATCGTGTTCTGTCAAGTTGATGACAGACTTTGGCTCAGGCATTTTAGAATGACCAAGGTTGCAATTTTGAGATTGTGCAATGAAATTGGTCTTCTGGTTCGCCCAGTTATCCAATCCTTTGCTGAGGCAAAGTCACATTGTTTTTGTTGCACATCAAGGGAGTTACTGTGTAAATATGTTACCATTATAGTTTATGTGCATGTCCTCTTATAAAAAATTAAAAATTAAATTTTTTTTAAAAAAAAAAACATCATCTGCCTCAATTTGGCACATTAGTTTTTTGTGCAGATTTTTGGAATCTATGCACTCTTGGTGTGTCTAATTCAATATCCAATATTTCATATATAAAAAGAGAGGCATTTGGCGTGTTTAATTTACAAACCATGCCCCCTTTAGGTTTGTAAAATGTTTAAATGTTTTCTTATTTATTTATTTATTTATTTTTGCTTTTTAAATGTTTTCTTATTTATTTATTTATTTATTTATTTTTGCTTTTATATGGGCACAATATTTATGAACGCCATTTCTTGTCTGATCTTGTCTTATTTTTTGTCCCATATGGAATTAAACTGGAGTCTATGAACTGTTTATTTGAATTAAGCAAGGGTTCAAATGTTAAACTTGTTTTCTTGATTGTTTTTTTTTTACAAACAAAATTGTTTTTAATCATTATCTACTGTTTCAGATGGACTTAAACTGGAGTCTAATGACTAATTATTTGATTGTTTAATTATGATCAGGATCACCTGAAGACTTGCAGCGTTCTTTCTAGTCATTGCCACACTGAATAGCCGAAATGTTTGTTATCTTTATCTCCTGTTTACAATCAAAAAATGCATTTCTAATTCAATATCCCAAAATTCACATAAAAAATTGGTGGATGGAAAAGCTAGTGTGAGACAAGATAACCCACGACTGCAACATTTAGAATAACTTGGTTATTAATGGTTTAAAGTGTGAAAAGCTAAGATTTGTCACATTGCTAAAGATGAATTTTATAAAATCAGACATGGTACTCTTAATTTTTCCACATGTCTGAAACTTATTTCTTTCTTCCCTTCTCTCTCTCACACACAAACATACACGTGTTTTTCTCTGCAGCCTCCATCGTGATTGGGAAGTGGTGGTGTGAAATGGAGCCGTGTCTGGAAGGAGAGGAGTGCAAGACACTACCAGACAACTCCGGCTGGATGTGTTCCTCTGGGAACAAGATCAAGACCACGAGGGTGAGGGCTCGGAGAATGCTGAACATCATTTCATACACGAACACATACATACAATTGGATCTGATTAATTTAAAAAGAAAAGTAAAAAGTTAAACAAAATATAAATGCAATCTTCTGTATGTTCTGAAAACAGAAGTTTGACTTGTTAAATGATTCAGACACAAGAAAGATTGTTTTGTCAGACCGAGGGACACATTTAACTTTGGACCTCACTAACCTGTTTATTCTTCATGATATGATGTGGCGGTAGCTCGTGTTCAGAAGACACATCTTCTTCATTTAGTCCTAATTCAGCGTTATAAAGGATGCTGTGCAGTGTTCAACCTAAGAAATAAGAAGTTTAAGACATTAGGACACAGGTCAGACAAAAATAACATAAACATCGTAACTCTGACAGGAAGTATGCATGATACATTATTAAAACTTTATGAGGATATCAGTATTCCCATACGCTGATTCAGTAGAGAGGTGGCAGACAGCGAATCTGTGAGAGTCACGTGACAGTGAACACAAGTAGATAGTATTACAGAGGGGTTGGTCCCTCCATGGCTTCTGCACGTGTTTAAACTATCCCAAGCCCTGCTTATGGGAATCCGATGGTGGTCTGATGATTTTCAAGATTTCCAAGGTAAGACCATGCATGCAAACCTAACCAGAGAAAGCCATCATTAGTGTACAAATATCATTAAATAGATTAAATAAAATAGTGTGCCCACCTACAGTATGTATGTCAAGCTTAAAGAGACAGTTCACACAAAAATGAAATTTCATACACATTCTTGTTGTCCTAAACCCATATGCTTTATATAAGTAATAAATTCATTATACAACTCTTGCCTTACAACAACTATAATTATGGTCCATATGATACAATTAGAACATTGATAGGTTTGTGAGGAACAGATAATCAGACTTTCATTATTTACTGATTATTCAAAACTCAATATTCACTGAATACTGAACCCCAAAACTCATGTCCTTTGTTTGCATCCATGTTTGTTTAAAACCAAATACAGCGCATCACGTTTGGACAAGAGCCAGTGTCGTTTTGTAATTTGGATATTGTGTGAAAAATTTGTAGAGATTCATATTTTAAGTTAAGACTAAATCTGATCTGTCCCTCACAAATAATGCATTATATTATAGGAATTGTCACAGTTGTGTTCACTTCGTTTAGTTTTCTTGGACTTTTAGTTTTTATTCTCTAGTCACATGTTCCTTTGTTTCACTTTCACACCTCTCATCTGTTACTATGGATACTAACTCTATCATCACATCTGTTTGTCTTTTAGTTAATCAGCATGTGTATTTAAGTTCCTCTTATTCAATCAGTGTTTGTCCGGTCACCGTTGCATTTAGTGTCTTGCTCCGCCTGCCTGCTTGCCTGCCTGGCTGATATTTGCATTTTCATTAATCTTCGTATTGCAATGTTATTCTTCATCTTCGTCAGTTTGCCTGCATCAAATTCTGACAGAAATATAGCAAACAAATCATATCTTATTTGGTGCTTGGCAGCTCCTGATCGCTATGAACTGTCATTGTATGGCAATAGTTTGTGAAACCATTCTTGATAACACTTTACCTGAAGGTGTGTGCATACGAGTGGCAAGACTCCTTCATAACCATGACATGACATTTGTCATGAATATGAAATAGGGTTTATATGTTTATGACAACTGTCATTAAGTAACATTTTGAATGCAAAGATGGCATTGTGTATGATGTCTTTGTTATGACACCTTGACATAAACCATAACATCATAACCTGTCAGTGTCTTTGTCAAGACAACTTGACATTAAATTAAGTTAAACTGTCATGTGGTTGGCTTTGACATTGGCTGTCCAGCCCGATCTCATGAAAGTTCGTATCTATGGCACGAATGTCATTTCTCGTGGCATTTATACGGCAAAAACAGTTTTTGCGTGTATATGGCACGCGATTTTCGCGTACATATGATACGCACTTTTTTGCGTATAATACGCACGAACTCCCCACCCCCCTCCCCCCTAAACCTAACCCAGGGTTTTTTAGTGCGTACCATATACACGAAAAAAACACTTTTGCCGTATAAATGCCACGAGAAATGACACTCGTGGTATAGATGCGCATCTTCATGAGACTGTGTTGGGCTGTCATGAGGCCAGTATAACTGTGTCAGGAATATTTTTCGTGACTTCAACTATTGTGGTACACATTGAAAAGTTATAATGGCTTCATGACAGCCAATGTCAAAACCAACCGCCTGACAGTTTAATGTAATGTTAACCAATAAAGCTAGGTGGTTTCTTATATGTTTGATAATTAATCTGCTATGTCATGTTTATGACAGGTTGTGTTGTCTTAGTAATGTCAAGTTGTCATGACAAAGACACTGACAGGTTATGATGTATTGGTTTATGTCAAGTTGTCATAAACAAGAAATCTCAAACAATGTCATATTTGCATTAAAAATGTCATAACTGAATGAATGACACTTAATTAAAGTTGTCATAAACAGGCATAAAACGTGTCATGTCATGATTATGAAGGTGTCATGTTAGTCTTATGCACACCACTTCAAGTAAAGTGTTACCCAATTCTTCAAGGATTTTTATTTTTTTATTCCATGTAAAAAAAATGTTTTGGGACAACAGGAAGGTGAGTGAATGAAATCAGAATTAACATAATAAATAAATAAATCAAAAGAAACAACCATATTTATCCATCTTTTTTAAAGACAGGTAATTGTGAAAAAAAAACAACTGCTCCTGATATTAAACTTCCTTTTTCTCCTTCATATTTTCTTTCCCAGAACACCCAGCCATATTCAACTTTTTAGCTCCGACGGCCACCAAAACTGGCTCAACAGAAGCTCAGCAGCGTCCTTCTCCTCATCAAGGTTGGTGTTTCCATTTTTTATTTATTTTTTCCAACATCTTGAGCCTTATGATTAGGCTTGCACATTTTAATCACTGCTCATCAACATCATTACACTCCCAAACATAATTATTGCTGAGTCAGTGTTTGTGTTTGTGAGCATATTTATATGCTGTGGATGATTAAAAAGCCACAAATATATGCCTCCTCCAGTGTCTATTCTCCCGTCAGCGTAATTTATAAGCACGCGCATAACATAATGGAAAAATGTGAACATGGTAGTCCTTGCAGTAATTACCGAATACAAACCGATGAAGAAACAGATGCACAAGCAAACGCTCTTTGTCGTGTGCAGTCACACATTCCAAAACACACTGTGCCACTGTACTAATGCAGCATAATTGCATGTATGCAAACATGGTCACACACACACACACCCATGTAAGGACAGACTCAAATTAATGAGCATGCAAACACACACACACACACACACACACAGCAAAAAGGGCTCAAGCGTGACCATGTAGCCTGTAATAAGTGCATAATGCTGAAATCAGTATTTAGCCTCGTCGTTTGCTTCCATTGTCTCTTGTTTTGTAAGCTCCTGGGTATGGCGAGGATTTGATTACCATGTTTGTTTGTGGGTTTCCCAACATTATCCCATTATCTTTGAGGTTTTCAGGGTGTTTGTGTGTGAGAGTAGGTGTGCACTTCCTGACTATTTGAGTAATGTGTAACCTTCTAGCCTGGAGTGTCTGATCTGCCTCACTGGAGAGTTGCTATCTTGCTTTCTATAAACACCTTTGACCATCTTGCTGGCTCGGTCACCCTTCATCTCCCATCTAGACCCTATACACTCCCTCTCGATACTTTAAAGCAATCTGGCCACGTTTGTCCATGCTCATTGCAAACAAAAAGCAAGGCTAAATGCTAAAACCATCACTTGCAGTAATTTGTTTGCTCTGATTTTTTTTTACTTTGCGGTACACACAAGCTTATTTACTCACAAGCGCTGGTATGGCGTCCATTCTCTCTCTCTTTTTTTTTTTTCAAATTGGCATGTGAGTAAGAAAAAGCCAGAGCGTGTGCCTGACACCATTTTTTCTCTTTTTTTCTTTATGTCTTGCAGAGAGGGATCCCTCCTTGCCTGTAGCTCCAGACAAGGCAGGCCTCTTTTGAGGAAGGCACACAGTGAGAGAGGCTGAGAGACACCCTCACCCTACATGTTCCTAATGGCTATATCATTCAGTTCCTTTATAAACTAACAAAATCAATACGTGAACAAGACCAGGTTTATTCCCTAGTTTCTGTTTTACCTTCATCTACCTCATTTGAGAGGAGAGATGGGCTCAATCTGTAGCTACTGTGCAGTCTGCCTCAGCTCTGGCCCCTAAAACAAGCTGGTCTCGAACAATTTTGGCATACGCATCAAGGTTCCATTAGTATTCATAGAAATCCATACATTCATATTTTTTTAATGGACACTGAAATGTACAATATGAACATTTTGACAGCATCTAAACAGCATCAAATTTCTTTATAATACATTTATATTATAAATTGTACAATTATAGATTTTAGGCTTGTGTAAAGTGATGAAATATGAAATGAGTTGAATATGGCCACAAAAATCACACAGCAGGTTCTAAATGCATTAAATAAATGTCATGGCATTGAACATATAAATCTATATCAACAACATATCAATCGACAATCAATCAAAATAATTCCATGAATTCAATATATTAAGCTAAAAGGATTCAGAAACTTTTTGTATGTCTCTAAAATGCATATTTTTTAGATGCTGTCACTATGCTCATTATAAATGTACATTCTAGTTTATGTGAGGATTCATATCCAACCAATTAGTAAACATTTTTTTGATTATTTTTATTTTTTATTTTTGCCCAAAAAGAATTAGCTTTTGGTGCTCAATCATAAATTCTGTTATCGACATTCTCTTGTCTGCATGCTTCACATTCAAATAAATGTTTACAAGAAAACAGCATGTTCAGTTCTCAGAAACACTCTGGGAAAATGTAATGGCTTGCTGTTTCCTCTCTGAGACAGATTTGGTCGGCAAATATGTCTCTGAGACACGTTCTTAACAGAAGGCTTTTTACAAGTTACCTGTACTGTTCAAAGAATCCCATCTGTGTGACTTTTCAGAGCAAAAGTAATCTGCCGAGTGATGGTTTAACATTAAATCATATGATGATCAAGTCAGTTTGTCCAAAGAGTCCTGTTGAACCCAGAGCCTTGACTGTATCTGTATCTCTTTCAGCTGTCAATGTCACATTAAATTAATTCGAACACATTCGTGCTGTCTTGAGTCTTGCTGTATGCTATCCTCATTTAAAAGTCACATTTAACAGCTGCATAATCTAAATTGAAATATCGTTTTAGAAATAAAATGCACAAGGTCGACAACAAATGTCTTTGGGATGTGCTGTTAACACTGAATCCAGCCAATCAATGGAAGAGGACAGTCCTGGGCAGAAATGCAGGAAATACGGCAGCATTTGCATGGTCCACTATAACAAACCACATTTGGAGAGACAAAGCCATACATACTAGCAGACAGCAGAAGACAAATTGCATCAAGGTCACTATAGTGTTTCCCGCATAGTATGTGGGGGTTGGAAGTTGCACAGCACACAAAAGCTTTCATTTTAAAGAGGAAAGACAAGGAATATTTGGCTTAGAACAAACTAAACGCTTGGCACAAAATACTTCTGGCACAGAGCTGTCAGCGTTTACGTGTATATAAAATAAAATAAGCATTAGGTCCAGCAAATCGGATTATTTTAAACAAAGATTGTTGCATCCTTTGTCAAAGAAGCAGCTGTTTTCCGTCTGCCTCATGTTAATATTGGTGGATTGCCACAGAAGTGATGTTAGCCAGGGTGCTGTGATTGGTGTGATGTCATAGGCTGGCTAACCTCTTTTGATTGGCATGAACTGGTTCCTTTCCAGAGGGGATCCGTTATGATGGACAGCTCCTCCTCCTCTGCCTTGCCTTGCCTTGCCTTGCCCAGGATGATGGGAGTATGTGGAGCGTAACTCTGCCGCATGATAGCTGTCTGTCTGTTGGGTTATGGGGGGCCCCAAGGGGTACTTCTAATTTCTGTCCCCAGTCACTCTCTCTGTCTCTTTCTATGTCTCTCCCTCAATCTGTGGCTCACACCTGGTTGCCTTCCTCCGCATCAAGACGGAAAAATGTCAGCATATGCTTTATGTGCTGAGGGCGAAGCCACAGGCTTGAGCATTTAATTAGCTTCATTGCACTACTGACATCACGACTTTATGATGAAAACGCCACCTAGCTCTAAGTCAGATGGATTGCTTGATGAATGGATGCTTTGGAAATATTGTCTATTACTATAAGATAGATAGATAGATATAGATAGATGGATAGATAGATAGATAGATAGATAGATAGATAGATAGATAGATAGATAGATAGATAGATAGATAGATAGATAGATAGATAGATAGATAGATAGATAGATAGATAGATAGATAGATAGATAGATAGATAGATAGATAGATAGATAGATAGATAGATAGATAGATAGATAGATAGATAGATACTGTATAGATATAGATATAGATAGATAGATAGATAGATAGATAGATAGATAGATAGATAGATTTAATAGATCAATAGATAGATAAGATAGATACCTGGTTGCTCTTAAAATTTTTAAGTTGATTGAAATGGAAAAAGTGAGTTAATACAATGAAGAAGACTGATTTAATCATCAGAAACTCAAAATAATTATCTGAACTAAATAAATTATTTAAGTTGATTTGACCAAAGAAAAAATGTTGTGATAACAAATCTTGAAAATATCTTTTTTTACAGTGTAGATGGATGTGCCGTGTCACAATATATGTGGTGTGTTAGTGATTCTTTTTGTATTCATGTTGGTTTAGCGACAAGATTTCTGGGAAGCACATCAAAAGACAATTTGTGCTGACATAAGGTTGGCTAATCGTTAGTGACTGTGGCTGTTATCGTGCATTTCCTACAATCCGAGGAGGGAGAGGACGGATCGTTAATAACGGTCTGAGTGAAGCACAATGTTGCATTGAGAGCAAGACACACTTACCAGACAGACTAAATAGGGGTCCCTGAAGTCACAGAGAAACAGGGAGGAAGAAAATAATCTTATTTCCCTCTTGGCAATGCTACTGAGCTCTTTTCACTGTGTAAACATGGAACATACAGAAATGTGAGATTGCAGATGGCTGACCAACTGAATGCATATATACATTCATTTACGCGGTGCCAATCGGTACTAATCGGTATTACCTGTATAATAGACTAATTAAAACCATCCATACATGGACAATAGCTCTAGCTCAAATGAGCTTTCTTTGCTGATTTGAACATCTAAAATTCAGTATTTCCTTCTGGGAAGCATTCTTCACATTTGTTCTAAGCGTGTATGTGTGTTTTCTCTTCCTTTTTGTCTGTTTTCAGATTCATCCCCGAACCTAACAAAGAGCTCCTTCACAAGCAGTGGATGTGGATTTTCCCGGAACGTGACTGTTCTTCAGTTAGAATGGACGAAACCATTAATTCAATGGGGTGTTTGGCTGGATTACCTGTGACTGAACAATAAAGAATGACATTCCTGGGGATAAAGACGAGATTTGCTCATTTGGTGCCAAGGAATATGAAAAAAAATCTGACTAATCTGTGTTTTTGGTCAGTGAACCCAACGCTGCAGACTCCAGTGGCTGTGCCCAATTCTTTCGATTTTCTGCATTTCTCCTTACCACCTTCCTCTGATTCTGGGCTCATACAGCTAAGGGGAGCCGTTTTGTTGGATTTCAAATTATATTTGAAGACTTTACCTCCCTAGGTAAACTGGACAATCCTGATGTAAGCTGTGAAACGACTGTATGAAGGATCATGATGGATAAGCGTTGCTGTGTGAAATTGAGGGGGAAATCAATAGGAGATTTTTTCCCATCCCTCCATCAGTTTGTCGTTTTGCCTTCCATGCTGGCTTTGGTAATAGACTGGGAGCTTGTGAAGCCCTGCTATGTCCCTCCACTTCTAAGTTTACTGCTCACCGCTATAATTGTCCACATGCTGTTCGTTTTGGAATTCCTCCGGGTCAATGGTCACCTCACTGTCTACACCTACTTGGGGCAGATATCTTTTTATTTGTCGGCATGCTCAATGTATTTTGTGGGAGCTTTGTATTGAAAGTAACTGTATATATTTATGTATATATACATATAGATACATATTAAAATACATCATATGAAGATCTAACATGCCCTTAAACCTGTTTAGTGGGTTTGAATTGAGACTGTATTCATGGATTTGGATACTTGAACAAGTACAATTAATCCCTGATTTAAGGCTGTCTTTGGAAATACATGTAATGGACATCCTGCATTTTTTGCTTAAAATAAGAATTTGTTCCGAAAAACAAACGAAAAATTCACTAAACAGTTGCAACACTTTTGCACATGATTTGCACACTTTTTGACGCTTGAATAGTCTTAAGCTATAAGTATTTCAGTCACTGTCATTCATTTTCAGTACAAATTATTCAGAAGACTCTATTTACCCAGTGAAATTAATGTTGTGTTACTACTGCCAGCAAAAATCAGATGATAAATGACTTTATGTACATTTTAATGATCAATACTTCAATGCATAATAATAAAATAATACAATAATAGAGAAGAGCTGCTGCGCAGAGTAGTTGACCACACAGTGGTGCTGTACAGTCCCAGTAAAGTGCATTGAATTATAATAGTCCACTGTATCCTCCACAATGTACTATAGCACACACAAGCAACCAGCAAGTTCAGAAATTGCACCATACAACGATTTTGTTGGGGATTTTGTTCTGTTTTCTGACTTATAAAATACTCTAGTGAATCAGGCACTTAAACACAGCAAACAGTGCAAATAATTGCCTCTTTGGCAGACGCAACTCATACTTAGTGAATTTTCCAAAATATATTAGTGTAATAAAGACAAGCCCAACAAAAGAAGCCACAGTCACCTATTGGAATTAGATTACCATTGATAATTGCCTGTTGGCAGTTCTAACTCAGTTAAGTTCAGTCCATGATCCAGTTTGTCCTGTGCTGTTCTGAGAATAGATAAGCTTTAACATACCTGTGTAGGTTTCATAAATACAACAAAATAGAAGACATTCAGCTTGTTAAAGGCTATAATCATGATAACTTCAAACTGTCAATGGACGTAGACCTGATTCAGTTCAGAAAAATGAAGCCCTAGTTTAGTAGAGTGAGTTATAGGGTAGATGAGATGTTGTTCTCAAAAGATAAAACATATTTATAATGCTTGTTGGCAGCTTATAATTTACATTTGCCATTCCACATTGATTATGAGGGATATTGTCATTTAGAATGTTGCATTAAAATGTTTTAGTTTTCTGTGTAATCTGTTTTCAAAGGTGTAAAAGGTCAAAGAAAAGATGGGCTTCATTTCTCTTTACTGGCATCAGTAGACATGCAATTACAGTAGCGCTGATTGATAAACATGCAGCCTTACCAGAAACAAATCAATATTAAAATGGTTTTCTATACACTGTGTCTACCTTTATGTCTCGACCAGTAATGTTGTTCTCATCTCATTAGCATGTTTTATTACTTAATTACCCTGTTGTTGTTGAGCGGGATTCGAAGCGTACTCTGCTGCATGGGGGGCAGGCGCTTTAACAAGGAGGTTAAAGACCACAGACTCACTTTAGTTGCTAGATAGCCTCTAGATACAGTGATGTGAATAAGTTTGGACACCCATGCTAAAGTTGCCTAAAAAGAGGAATAAAAAATCATCTTTTGGATATTGATCGTAATGCCTTAATTTGAAAAATGAGGAAAACTCCACCCTTTAAGGACACACATTTTCTTTGTGAATGAATAATGTATCATAAATAAATAAATTTTTTTCCTTAAAATACAGGGTGCAAAAGTCAGGACACCCCTATGTTAAATTCCCATAGAGTCAGGCAGATTTTTATTTTTAAAAGCCAGTTATTTCATGGATCCAGGATAATATGCATCCTGATAAAGTTCCCTTGGCCTTTGGAATTACAATAGACCCACATCATCACACAACATTCACCATGCCTTGAGATTGGCATGGTTTTACTTCAGTTAGCCTAATAGCTGGTTTGATTTGCATTGAAAGATGATCTTATGGAAAGCACCCCATGCCAATCTCTAGGTGTGGTGGAAGGTGTGTGATGATGTGGGTCTATTTTAACTCCAAAGGCCAAGGGAACTTTATCAGGATGCATATTATCCTGGATCCATGAAATAACTGGCTTTTAAAAATAAAAATATGCTTAACTCTATGGGAATTTAACATAGGGGTTCCCTGACTTATGCACCCTGTATTTTAAGGAAAAACATTTATTTATTTATGATACATTATTCATTCACAAAGAAAATTGGTGTCATTAAAGGTTGGAGTTTTCCTCATTTTTCTAATTAAGGCATTAAGATCAATATCCAAAAGATGATTTTTTATTCCTCTTTTTAGGCAACTTCAGCATGGGTGTCCAAACTTATTCACATCACATATCAGGGGAGTAAGGTTTGCATGCACATGCAGCTCTTACTGGCCTATGACAGTTACATTTGATTTTTAGTTTCTCACTTTAAGAATTGTTCTTGGTTAAACTCAGTGACTTACATTTTACAATTAGGTACTTTGTGGTTCTTGTAGTCAACTATGCCTTGAATAGTGAAACCTTTTAAACAGGAAAACATATTCATTGCAACCAACGCATTCTCACCCCAAGGCGTCACCTTTGACCATGCTTCAATATTTGACGTTTTAGGCGCCCTTTAGCGTCACTTACATGACGCGATCCTACGGCGTCATCTAACTGACGCTAAAGAAAAGCGTCAGTTAGAGGACGCAGTTAGGTTTAGGTGTGGGGTGGGGGTAGGGTACACGAGATCCTAGGGCGTCATCTAACTGATGCTAAAGGGCGCCTAAAGCGTCAGATATTGAAGCATGTCCAAATGCTTCCCAAGGCGTCAGTTAAGTGACGCCTTGGGGGTGAGAATGGGCTGTTGCAACATGTGCATCTTTGCCTATAGGGCAGTGCTTGCATTCTGTATATACTGACATAACCAGTTTTTTGATTTATATAATTCCCTGTGGCAGACTGCATTTATCAGCATTGGCCATTTTGTTAACTTATTCAATTAGGATACACATTTGTAGTTCCACGCCAAGAACACTCCCATCTGACTTGCATAATAAATCTTCTTTACTACCATATTTCCTCAGGTTTGCTTCCTCTCCTCAACAAGTATCATCATTATTATTATTATTATTAACTCTGTTTTTTTTTTTCTTTTGCAAGTCATTTTTTTCAATCAGCAAAGTCACAGAGGGCCTGAGATTGACAGCTACATCGATCTCCCAGCAGTTTTCCCAGAATGCTAAGCAGGGAATTACAAACAAAAAGCTGTGTTTTCTCTTCTTCAATGAGGCGTTCCCTCATTTTGTTGTTGTTTTTCTATCTAAAAGGATACAGAGCAGCTCAGAGCCTCAAGTGTGCATTTGATCCTTTATAGGAATCAGGGCCCCAACAGCAGACCTTCCTCAAGAAAGATGCGCCGCTGAGACATGAATGGTGAGATTTTTGTGGAAAAAAAATAAAGTATGTAAATGTGAATCAAGGGATTTTGAGTATTCAGGGTTTTAATGTGGATGGGTCATAAAAGGTGCTATGGGATAGATGTGGAAGAGCTCGCAATTCTCTTTCATGCATCTGTTTTTTTCTGAGTAAGAATGCTGGAGTCTTGCTGTGAAGAGAGCCCTGCAAGAACTGCCTTTGAATAGATAACCAAATGCATTTACCACCACCCAATTCTTTGTTATTTTGCTGAGGAAACTTCAATCAAGTTCTTAGAAAAGGCTTCTGCACTTGGAAAATCTCATATTTATTTATAACCACCACCCATTGTAGGATTATTTAAATGAAAATGTTATGATACATTAAGACATCCCAGGTTATGTTTACAGTGACTGCAATAATTAATAATATTGACAATACTCTGAAAGTACAGTAAATGTAAACAGCATCTTCATATACCTTAATCCGAACATAGTCATATTTAGAATAAGCATAACTGAATTAATTGAATAGTTAGCCAAAAATTCTGCCATCATTTACTCTCTCTTGAAACAGAATGATTTTCTTTTTTCTGTCGAGCATAAAAAATTTACTTTTTTGTATGTACAATGAACTTCACAGGGGTCCAGTGTCATTCTTCAAAATAGATTATTTAAAGGGATAGTTCACCCAAAAATCAAAATTCTATCATCGTTTACTCACCCTCAAGTTGTACCAAATCTCTATGTGTTTATTTGTTCTGCTATACACAAAGGAAGATATTTGGAAGAATGTTTTAACCAAACAGATCTCAATCCCCATTGACTACTATAGTATGTAGCTATTTTTTCCTACTATGGAAGTCAATGGGGATTGAGATCTGTTTGATTAAAACATTCTTCCAAATATCTTCCTTTGTGTTCAGCAGAACAAATAAACACATAGAGGTTTGGAACAACTTGAGGGTGAGTAAATGATGGAAGAATTTTTGGGGTGAACTATCCCTTTAAAGAAAGCCATACAATATTTGGAACGACATGAGGATGAGTAAATGTTTAATGATAGAACACAGCTTTGATCCATCTGAAACCTCAAAGTCTCCCAATTGTGATGTCATAATCTGCCTAGAGGTAAATCTTCAATGTCAAATGATTAACAAGTTCAAGACTGTCAGAGACTATGATCATGATAATATATTTCATCTCCGGTTCATTCCCTCCCTCGTGTTCCCTCAAAACAAACTAAAGTCGAAATGCACTGGCATGAGACAGGCCAAACAGTGAAATCCATCATTTTCTTCTTGAGTGGGTCTGTGTTATACATGACAAGTCCTGTCCCTTGTGGGACACAGAAAATTGCAGCCGCTGCCTCTCACCAGATTTCAAACTTCCTCCAACCTCGGAGTAATAATAGACCCTCTAGCTCCTCATACATGCAACTGCAAAAGGATAGTGTTGCCTCTCGGCAAGGTTCAGAGGGGGTTATCTCTGGCACCCTTCGAACCCATTGACTCAGTGGTGGCAAAATCTTTGACCCTGTAAGATGGCTTTCTTATTGCTATTACGTCTCTTAAAAGACCAGGGAGCTGCCCCAGCCATCCGCCTTTATCACCTCATACGTGCAACAGCAAAAGGAGAGTGTTGTCTATCGAGCCCCTCGAAGCATCACACTTGTCCAAAGCCTTCCAAGGAGAAAACAGATCTGAGGACTGTTATTCTTTCGAGGAAGGCTTCGGGAAAGAGGTCCTGACGCTATGCACAAGCCTCTGAGGGCAGTCAAAAAATTTGCTCTTTCATGCAGCCCTCAGGAAATCAACGTTCTTTCACCACCATTTTGTATGCCTCTGGGTTTCCAGAGAACGCAAATCCACCGGAATTCGTTGCGGCCCTGCAAAATTCACTTCTTCTCACAAGGCCTGTAGAAAATTTCATTTTTTCATTCCCTGCCGGGCATCCGCTTCAGGACACCGAACTCAGTATCTGCAAAGTACCCGATGTCATTCTTGAGAGATTGGTCCCCTTATATACTATATAGAAGCATGAAAACATTTACCCATTTTCTTAGTGGGTCTACTTATGGTGGGAGAAGGTTACAGTATCCAGTTTGGGTCCTGGCCACCAAGGTTCGGCAGTATCTTAAAGACTGCTGTGGACCTTGAACAGGGTTGGGTGCTAGAAAAAGAAGTAGAGTCCCTCTTGGCGAAGGATACCATAGAGCTCATTACCAACGCATTCTCACCCCAAGGCGTCACCTTTGACCATGCTTCAATATTTGACGTTTTAGGCGCCCTTTAGCGTCACTTACATGACGCGATCCTACGGCGTCATCTAACTGACGCTAAAGGAAAGCGTCAGTTAGAGGACGCGGTTAGGTTTAGGTATGGGGTGGGGGTAGGGTACACGCGATCCTAGGGCGTCATCTAACTGACGCTAAAGGGCGCCTAAAGCGTCAGATATTGAAGCATGTCCAAATGCTTCCCAAGGCGTCAGTTAGGTGACGCCTAGGGAGTGAGAATGGGCTGTCATTACACCTCCCAAAAGGGAGTCTGGGTTCTACACCCAGTACTTCATTGATCAATAGAACCTATTCTAGATCTTCAGCAACTGAAACGGTCTCTGAGGAGATTCAGATTCAAGATGTTAACAAACCTTGTTGTTCCTGAGTCAAATCAACTCCGATGACTGATTTGTCATGACAGATCTGAAAGACGCTTACTTCCAAATTTGCATCCGTCCACAACACAAGAAGTTCCTAAGGTTTGCTTTTTGGGGCAAAAGACTCTGATATCAGGTTCTTCCATTTTGCCTAGCGTTACACCCTCGCACATTCATGAAATGCATGAACGCAGCACTGGCTCCATTGAGACTCCAGGACATTTGTGTCTTCAATTACATAGACAATTGGTTAATTCTAGCTCAGTCACATGAGATGGCAGTTTGGCATCAAGATGT